TCGCGCCTCCACCATCCGCTGCAATTCTCATGCAGGCAAAAACCTGTCTATCTGTCCTCTTTAGTGCTATATCCCCAGCAGCGTCATCACATTCATGGGAGACTCTCCACAACTATTTACTGGATGACGTTGAAAATTCCAGATTCGTCATGTGTCATCTCTGAAGCCAATGTCCTCTGAGTGGGATGGTGGAGGAGGGGGCAAGGGAAGGAGCATGATGTAAGACAGGAGGTGGGAGGAGGCCGGTCCAAAGCCTCTGTGGGATGGAAGGCTGACTTCTGGATGCTGAGTTTGGGGCGGGGACTCTTGATTGCAGCATTTCCTTCCAGCTGTGTAGTTCCAACCACAGGCTTATCCGGTTTAAGAAGAAACCATCCCACCAAGCAGCATGTCTGCCTGCTACCAGTAGATGGGGCAGTGTCATTAAAAAACTACAGTCTGCAGTTTCTAACCTGCTTCCCAGCTCCACTTCACTGACCGTCTGTTCTGGAATTGCCCTGCCTCAGATCTGTGATGTAGACTCATACCGGGTGCTGCCAGCTCTCCCAGCTGAAGAAACGCAGCCTTAACTGTGGTGTGTGCTTCAGGTGGGGTGGCCAGCTTCTCCATAAAGTGAGGCAGGCTCTTGGGGCTGGCCCAGGTCCAGGCCACAGGGGGATAGCAGGTTCTTCTCCTGGGTCTTTGAGCACAGGCACAGAGCATGACTCACACCAGGGTGTTCACACTGGCCTAGAACCTTTCTGTTCTCCCAAGGTTGCAAACAAGATTATTAGGAAGGCAGTCAATCCACGACATAGCCTTGTCAACAGGAGCAGCTCTGTGGGCCTGTGCCGCTGGGACTGGCACTCTGGCTGCTGCTCAAGAATGGGGCCACGAGTGGACTCCTTCTCCCTGCTTCTGTGGGCCACTGGTGTCCATGCCACTGTACGAAGTACAAAGTGGTGCCTCTCACCAAGGCTGAGACCAGCCTCAGCTCCTGCGACTGCTCCGTCTTCCTCTTCCGGACACCCTCTTGAGCCTTGGAACTTGGAGCCATTTGGAAATGATCACTGCTTGAACATGACCTCTGCTTTTGTGGAGTTTGGACTTCAAGATGATGGACCAACTAAAGGTCACTTATCACAGCCTCATTTGATATATTCTTACCAGATATTTTTTGAGACGGAGTCTCGCTCTGTCACCCAGGCTGGAGTGCAGTGGCACGGTCTCGGCTCACTGCAACCTCCGACTCCTGGTTTCAAGCGATTCTCCTGCCTCAGCCTCATGAGTAGCTGGGATTACAGACAGGTGCCACCACATCCAGCTAATTTTTGTATTTTCAGTAAAGACGGGGGTTTCGCTATGTTGGCCAGGCTGGTCTCAAACTCCTGACCTCGTGATCCACCCACCTTGACCACCCAAAGTACTGTGATTACAGACATGAGCCACTACGCCTGGCCAATATTTGTATTTTTAGTAGAGATGGGGTTTCACCATGTTGGTCAGGCTGATCTTGAACACCTGACCTCAGGTGATCCACCTGCCTCGGCCTCCCAAAGTGCTGGGATTACAGGCGTGAGCCACCGCGCTCAGCCAGAATGTTTTATTCTCCTTCATTACCACTGCAAGACACTCCAGAAATTTAAGAAATTACTGTTAGCTTAAATGGCTTATTATAGTCCTAACTAACTCATTCCAACAGCATGTCTGGCATCTCTCCATTGAGCCATTAGTGCAGCTGAGGAGTAAGGCACTACACAGCGTTGGAGGAGCGACACTATGGGGCCAGTTAGCCACGAAAAGGCCATTCCTTCCCTCAGAGACTACGAGAGCTGAAAACCACAGTCAGGAAGCTTTCTTCTTTCATTGTTACAATCATTAAGCTCCATCCTAATTATTACGTGTGTACACATTTTCTTTCTTTCTTTCTTTTTTGAGACAGTCTAACTCTGTCATCCAGGCTCAAGTACAATGGTGTGATCTCGGCTCATTGCAAGGGATTCTCCTGCCTCAATCTCCCAAGTTCAAGGGATTCTCCTGCCTCAATCTCCCAAGTAGCTGGGATTACAGGTGTGCACCACCATGCCTGGCTAATTTTTATATTTTTAGTAGAGATAGAGTTTTGCCACATTGGCCAGGCTGGTCTTGAACTCCTGACCTCAAGTGATCCACCTGCCTTGGCCTCCTAAAATGCTGGGATTACAGGCGTGAGCCACTGTGCCTGGCCTTATGTATGCCTTTTCATGCTTCTGTAATTTTGCTACCCTCTATATCCAGGAAGTCCTTCAGTCTTTTCCTGTTTGTATAAATTCTGTTCATCTTTCAAAGGTCACCACCTCCAGGAAGACTTTTCTGATTTTCCCAGTCACCGTGAATGCTTTCCTCCTCCAGCTTCTCATAGTGCTTTGGGTCTTTCTCATAGCGTTTAGCCCACTCTGTCTTCTTGTTCACATGCGTGTCTTGCTCATTAATTCTAGTTATTGAGTGCCTATTTGTACCACAATGAGGATACAAGGTACTTGCATAGAAACTACAGTCCAGTGGAACCCCAGACAGAGTTGGGTAAAGTTTACAGTCTTCATTAGACTAGGACCTTCTTGAGGCAGGAATCCTGTCTGCTTCTAGCTCAGGGCCTGGCACCCAAAGGCAGTCATAAAAGTGACTTAAATGGAAATTCAGCATCAATGACTGAGAAAACTGAATTAGAGTTCAAAGGAAGGTTAAAAGTTGGCAAAGGTAGAGGGTTAGGGAATTCCCAGGATTGGCTGCAGTGACTCTGGCGTGGAAGCCAGAGACATTAAAGATCCCCAGTGGACTTGGATGGTGGCAAGGGATCACTGTCCTCATCCAGGACCAGCCTGGGAGTTTGATGCAGGATAGTTTGGACATTTATCCCACTCCAGCTATAAGTCTTTTTGCTTTGAATGAGGAGACCATAGAAGTGAGGAGGTTGTTTCAAGGGCCCAGAAATGAGTTACTGGCTAAGGGTGAATCGGGCCAGAGGACTACAACTACACTGTCCAATTGGCACTTGATAAAAGCAATACTGATGCAATTATCACTCCCATTGGAGGGTGGCCAGGCAGTATTTGTCACTCAAATAAAAAATGTCATTTGAATTTTTACTAGGAATTCTCATCCAAAATATGTCAATGATATATAATAAAACTGCATGAATGGCCTGGTGAAGTAAACTAACTACACACGCATTACTTAGAAATTGTATTTATCTCAGGCCCGGCATGGTGGCTCACACCTGTAAACCCAGCACTTTGGGAGGCTGAGGTGGGTGGATCACAAGGTCAGGAGTTCGAGACCAGCCTGGCCAAGATGGTGAAACCCCGTCTCGAAAGAAAGAAAGAAAAAGAAAGAAATTGTATGTATATCAAAAACTTGTTCTACTCTGAGGTCCGACAGCAGGAGGGGGTCTTGCTGGGGGTTAAGATCGGGAAGCCCCTTATTCATTGTTGATAGTCTACAGGATTCACTCCAATCATCTTACCATGCACCTGACTTTTCACTGTCTGCCGCTTACCTGTGAATACCAGTTCCAAGACAGTGACAGATAAGCCTTGGTGTTTTCTGTGCCTCTCTCTTTAATATCGAATACAATTCTGAAAATAAGAATATTAAACAGCACCCAGTTATTCTCGGAGAGCTGTCACACAAGGAAGAAACCACTATTTTCCCAAACGATTGCTTAGGAAATTATAGCCTATAATCTCATCTTCTGCCACCTACCCCAGAAGTTTCGATCTAGACATACCTGTATTCATCGAGTTGCAATTCAGCCTGGGGGTGGAGTGTCAGGATTCAAGTCCTTTTGCTGCGGGGTAACCCCAGTTCCCAGAGATTTCCGTAGACAAAAGAGATGCTGATAAATTTGAGATGTAATTGCCGGATTGGACCGGTCTCGCCGCTCCCTCGAGCAATGGCTGTCACCGGGTCCCTTTAAGAGACCGGGAATCTGCCCGGCGTCGGAGCCCGAAACAGATCCTCTTCTCTGCTCCTCCCCTGTCCCCGCGCGGCGAATGGTTTGCGCCGGCCTATATTTACCCGAGATCTTCCTCCCGGACGGCAAGGATGTGAAGCAGGCGAGCTGGCCATCGCTCGCAGCACTGGAGAGGGCGCGCTGCAAAGGCGGGCAGTCGACCGCGGAGAGCCGGGCAGCGGAGTTGGACATCGCCTCGGAGGGAAGAAATGAGGTAGCGGCGGTCCCCAGAGCCGACCATGCGCGCCCCCTGCCCTCGGAGCCCAGCGCTGCCCTGGCCAAGCTATCCCGGACACTGAGCCGGCCGAGCGCGAGTCCCCGGTGTCTGGCGGAGCGAAGATGCAGTGAGCCCCCGCGGGACTGCTGCGCGGGGCCCGCCGCGGTCAGCCGGACCCAGCCTCCCACCGCACTTGGGGCAAGCTGCTGTCTCTGAGACCAGCCCGGCCGAGGGGCTCTTCGTCTCCAGCACCCCTTGGAGGTGGGGAGCAGCGGCCCCTGGGCACACTCGCTGTAGAGTTTCCCCGGGTTTCGGCCCCAGTCCTAGGGGTTGTGTGTGTTAGGGGACCCTCTTCTCGTTCGCCGAGGAGTTCCTGCATATTCTCGCACCATCCCAGTGCTGTTGCTGGGGCTCTCTTTATTTATTTGCACGCGCGCTTCTAGCTTTTTTCCTGACCGTTTCTGCTCCACGCTCGTTCTCTCGCATTTTGTGGCTTGCCTGAGACTCTTTGCCCTCGCCCTTGCCCAGGCTGGGGTAAGTCTGTGTGCGCGCTTGGCCCCTCAACCCCCCCCCCAACACACACATACCTTTTCAGCACAATCGAAGCTGAATATTTTCTTTTTTAGAAAATTTACCCCCACTCTCTGAGGGGTTCCCCCGCCTCCCCCCAACTCCCTACCCCTGGGCCACTCCCAGTAGAATTTTATTTTTCGATCTTGCCCGGGCCGAGCCCGGCTGGGGCCGGTGGCTCAGCGGGGCTCGCATCCGGCGCTCCGCCGCCGCCGCCCAGCTGCGCCGGGGCGCCCTTCGGAGATGCTGCCGTGGAAGAAGCACAAGTTCGAGCTGCTGGCCGAGGCGCCGCCGCGGCAGGCGTCCAAGCCCAAGGGCTACGCTGTGAGCCTGCACTACTCGGCGCTCAGCTCGCTGGCGCGGGCGTGCCCCGAAGGCGCGCTTAGCCGGGTGGGCAGCATGTTCCGCTCCAAGCGCAAGAAGCTGCACATCACCAGCGAGGACCCAACTTACACCGTGCTCTACCTGGGCAATGCCACCACCATCCAGGCGCGCGGCGACGGTTGCACGGACCTTGCTGTGGGCAAGATCTGGAGCAAGAGCGAGGCGGGCCGTCAGGGCACCAAGATGAAGCTGACGGTGAGTGCGCAGGGTATCCGCATGGTCCACGCCGAGGAGCGTGCGTTGCGCCGCCCGGGGCACCTGTACCTGCTGCACCGCGTCACCTACTGCGTGGCGGACGCGCGGCTGCCCAAGGTCTTCGCCTGGGTGTACCGGCACGAGCTGAAGCACAAGGCCGTGATGCTGCGCTGCCATGCGGTGCTGGTATCCAAGCCCGAAAAGGCGCAGGCCATGGCCCTGCTGCTCTACCAGACGTCGGCTAATGCGCTGGCGGAATTTAAACGCCTCAAGCGGCGGGACGACGCGCGTCACCAGCAGCAGGAGCTGGTGGGGGCGCACACGATCCCGCTAGTGCCGCTGCGCAAGCTGCTCCTGCACGGCCCCAGCTGTTATAAACCGCCGGTGGAGCGTAGCCGCAGCGCGCCCAAGCTCGGCTCCATCACCGAGGACCTGCTCGGCGAACAGCAGGAGCAGGAGCTGCAGGAGGAAGAGGAAGAAGAGCACCCCGAGGGCTCCCCGGAGGAGGAGGAGAACCGCGCAGCAGAGGGAGATCCAGCAGAGGAGGAGGCCGAGGCGCAGCGGGCACTGGTGGTTGCCATGCACTTTGAGTGCGGGGACTTGTTGGACACCTTGGAGAATGGCCGCGGGGAGGCGCTGGGGAGCGGCGTTGGCTCCCTGGGCCCCAGGGCCGGGCCGCCGCCTCTCCTGCTGGGCAGCGCCTCCGACGTGAAGGTCGAGCTGTCGCAACTTATTAACGATCTGGGCGAGCTCAGCTTCGGCAACGACGTGCGCACCCTGCAGGCCGACTTGCGGGTGACGCGCCTGCTGTCAGGCGACAGCACGGGCAGCGAGAGCTCCATTGAGGGCGGGGGCCCGGACGCCACCGCCGGGGACCGGTCGAGCCAGGCCGACAGCGCCAGCACAGACGAGCCCCACTCGAACTGAACTCCTCCGTGCGTCCCCAGCGCTGCACCGTGGCTACCCATCCGTTGCCCCGACCACCTCCCTGTCCCTTGCCCGCCCCCAGGAAAGGGGAAATGGGGCCTTTGGGGCCCAGGCCCAGAATTCCCCGACTGCTCCCCTACCTCCCCGCCCCCGCTCCCGCCCCAGCACTTTTGGCTCTGTGCCAGGCGGACTCGGGTTGCGTGTGGGAATGCGGGGAGATGCGAGGGGAGAAACCCCGCCAGGAGGGAGAGAGAGGCAGCCTTCTGGGGTGCGGGTGAAGGAAGGCTGGCTGAAGTTCCTAGTCTCAGGCCATAGGTGCCTGGCCAGTTTCCTGTTTGTGGGGCAGCTGGGGCCTGAGGAGGAGGGGTTCACTTCCTCCTCCCACCCCCTGGGAGTGGCCCTGCACTGTCACTGACATGTCATTTAAAAAAACAAGAATTTGCTCTCAAGGTGTTTGAGGCTTTAATGCTACCCCTTGGCCCTTGGTTCTTTTTGATGCAAGAGCTCGGGCTGTTTACCTCAGACTCAGACCCCTGAAATTCTGCCAAATTCCTCAAATAACTGTTTGGGGGGTGGTGGGGGGAGATGAAAGAAAGTTGCATTTTGTTTACAGCTAAAGACATCTAATATCTTAAAAAGGAGTTTTCCTTTAGAAACACACACCCACAAACACACACCCTTCCTCTTGCTCAAAAGATCTCACTCCATGATACTGTGTAAAATATTTTTGCACTGTTGTGAAGTATTTTTGACTTTTTTCTGTACATAACTGTGTTCTCAGAGCTGATTGTTTATATCTTTTGCTGTGCAAAAGAAACATGTAAAATGTTCAGTTGTATATACAGAAATGTGTATAAAACATTTTGTTATTTTAAAAAAGTAGCACTGTTCTGGTTCTGTTTGCAGCCAGTGGGGAGAGAATAAAGAGGAAAATGTAACAGATCAGGTGAATGTCTGGAACTGCTGTGTGGGAGTGGGAGACTGTCCAATCCTGGGTGGCACAGGACAGTCTTTGGTCTTTCCTATGCTTAGAGAGAATTAGGGAAGGAAGGTCCACTTGATGCATCATCTGGGGCCTTCCTGGACCCCCACGACTGCAGGTGCTGTGTCTGGGGCCCCCTTTCAGGTATTATCTCGTTTTTTTTCACTCATGAAGTTGTGTGAGTCTGGTCTTTTTCTGGTCTTTCGGAGAGGCCAAGGTGAGTTCCTTATTGCACTCTCAGACCTGTGAGGTTATGGAGGAGTGACTTTCCAGGTCAGCCGAGATTTTACCACCGTACTACTAATCAAGTGTGAGGAGACCCCGTTATCTTTTCCTTCACAAACAGCTCAAGGAGCTTTAAAGATGAACTAAAAACCCAAAGAGGAGTTCTCTGAGGAGTGGGGCCATCTCTGTTTTTCCTGGGAGGAAAACCAGGGGGAGAGAAAAGTTGACAAGTTCTGATCCTGGTGTGAGTGAGTCATGGTGCAGGTGGGTGGGTGGCTGGGCAGGCTGCAAAGCCCATTTCCTTCCCTTCTATAACTCACTGTGGCCCAGTGGGGGGATGGCCCAAAGGTCGAGCCGGAGAGGAGCTGTTAGAGCGCTTTCATGCTTTCTGTGTGTTTGTTTCTGTTGTAAACTCCAAACAGATGTCTCTAGTTTGGCTACACCCGATCAGCTGGAAGTTGTAATAAGATGCTGCCAAAACTGTGCCTTCTGCAAATTACATTTTCCTTCTGCCCCTTTGGGCCTCTCTTCCTGTGTTGCAGAAATGGATCTCGCTCCTGGCCTTCCCTGGTGTCCTGAGGCCACTTTGCTTTGTTTTCATCAGAAATATGTTCTGAGCAGCTAGACCCAGAAATCCTAAGGGGTCTGGAATTCACTGGAACCATAGAGGAAAGGAGGGTGAAAGATTTTCTTCCTAATTAACGGGAGTGGTTCAGGCATAGAACTAGCTTTAAGAAATAAAAGAGGGTGAGTGGAAAATATTTTTAAAAAAATATTCAGTCACTTCTTAAGGGCATTAGGACAAGGTCCAGGCCTTTGAATCTATTCTCTTTTGGCTTGGTTGTGAGACTCGATCTCTCTCCATGAATACCTCAGATACACATCATTGAATGACATTAAAAACCCCAGCTAGAGAGAGGTCAGGAAAGTCAAATCTCAGTCCGCCCCCCAATCCCAGCCCTTTCACCCCAATGCGCTCACCTGATCAGCAAATGGCTGTGTGGGCCATCACTAGCCTGTGTGACTAGATTTCACATTTCAAATTATTTCCATGCATTGCGAAGTCCTCTGCTGTTTGAAACTGATGAAGAGATGAGACAGTGAAGATAATATGGCTAATACTTGGGAGGCAGGGCAGGGTCTGTGTGTCTTCATTCTTATCTAGTTTAAGTGTCTGGTGAGAATGCCAGTGATGGCTTTCATCTGTGACGGATGGGCATATGGTGACTGGTCCAAAGTTCAGGCAAATGGCATTGAAACCAACACCATCAATAAATATAAAGCAGCCATCTCTTAAAGTCTGATTGTTCCTCTTATGTGATTTATAAATAGGAAGGGGGACTTGAAGGTTGAGGAGGAGGAAGAAGAAAAGAAGCAGGCTGAAAGGAGCCAGCTCCCCTCCTCCCTGTCTGTGCCCTCCCCATCTCTCCTTCCTCCCCTCTGCCTTTTGGCATTGATCCCCACTGCACCCCCGAGCTCTGACTGATGTAATTCTAGAAGAGAAGCGAAGGTGACACATGATTCACCTCTTGTTACATCTCAGTCTTCCAGGGATGATATCACTAGAGTAAGAAGAGATGTTTTGAGTGAAAAAAAAAAAAAAGACCCTAAAACCAATTTGCTTCTGGAGCTCAAGGGAAAAGAGCAGAGAGGCAAAAACAAAGCTAAGTCATTAGATAAAATCCGCCTTCCAGAAAACACCTGAAGTCAGGTTTACTCATCAAATTGAACTTTTCCTTCTTGCAGAGTGAGGCTCATGTTTCTCCTTGACTTCACCTGATGGTAGTTTAAGTGCAGTGAGACACTTCCCACATTCTTTCGCAGCCGAAGTAATCCTCTGCGTTCAACAATGCAGCACTGAGTGCCTGAAAAACAGAGTGACTTCTGACAGCAAGCGCTATCTTCCAGGGGTGGCAGCGTCCGGGGAGGAGGCATTCATCAACTTCTCACAGCACAAGCATCCCACGTTCATTTCTACCATTTGTTGCATATGTGAGCAGGAAGGTGGGAGGAATAAAATGATATCAAATAAACAATAGTATTTCATACCCTCTCAACTACTAGGGCTTCAGAAAACACCCCCTCCACACACACGTGTGTGTGCACACATACATGGTTTCCCTAAAGAAACGCCCCTCTCACTGCCCCTCAGTCAGCAGAACAGATTTTAAACAAATTAGAAAGACTCTGTTATACTAAGAAAGCACAATTTCCTCCCAGGGGACAGAGCTGTTTTTGAGGGTTCTGCTTCTGAATAGGGAGATAACTGATTGGTAGAATCTATACCCCTGGCACCATATTGGAGATTTAAAAATCTCATTGTAATTGCCAAGGATCACGAGAAACATACAAATTCTATCAGGAGTAAGTTGCCGTCTTTTCTAACACGATTTACTAATTTAATAAGCAGAACTCTTTCCTCTGTGTGGTATGCATCAGTAGTCCCAGCATCTGCTGGTAATTGATGCATGACAGTCCTGGAAATGTGCACGGACTGCTGGGGCTAGGAGCCATGAGCCATGGCTAACATGTGGGAAACTGCCCAGGGCTCCAGGCAGCCAGGAGGCTGCCCGGCCCAGGGCGCTCTGCACTCTCTGCTCCAGGCTTGTTGCACATGGCTACTGTCTTAGTCGGTTTAGTGTTGTTGTAAAGGAATGCCCTAGGCTGGGTAACTTATTATTTATGTATTTATTTGTTTTGAGACAGAGTTTCACTTTTATTGCCCAGACTGGAGTGCAGTGGTGCAATCTTGGCTCACTAAAACCTCCGCCTCCCGGGTTCAAGTGATTCTCCTGCCCCAGCCTCCCTAGTAGCTGGGATCACAGGCACCCTCCACCTCACCCAGCTAATTTTGAATTTTTTTTTAAATAGAGATGGGGTTTCGCTATGTTGGTCAGGCTGGTCTTGAACTCCTAACCTCAGGTGATCCACCCACCTTGGCCTCCCAAAGTGCTGGGATTACAGGCATGAGCCACCGTGCCTGGTAAGGCTGGGTAATTTATAAAGAGGTTTATTTGGCTCAACATTCTGTAGGCTGTACAAGAAGTATGGTGCCAGCTTCTGCCCTGGTGAGGCCTCAGGCTGCTTCCACTCATGGCAGAAGGTGAACTGCAGCAGGAATCACATAGCAAGAAGAAGGAAGCAAGAGAAGGGGAGAAGGGCAGTGCCAAGCTCTTTTGAGCAACTTGCTCTCAAGTGAGTGAATAGAGAGGACTCACTCATTGCCTCCCTCTCCTCCACAGGGAGAGCATTAGTCTGTTCATAAGGATCCACTCCCATGACCCAAATACCTCGCATTAGGCCCCACCTCCAACACTGGGATCAAATTTCAAGGTGAGATTTGGGGGAACAAACATCCAAACTACAGCAGCCACACCTGGATCTGGCTTTACCATTAGCCAGGACCTTTTCTGTTCTTCGGGCTCATCCCTGTTGGGGTCCCCTAAAACAAACCCCGACTGCTTGCTCTAAAGCTCTTGTGACCCAATTTGAGCAGCCTTGACTACCCATCGTCTTGGTGGTTTACACGGTGACAAGCTGGCCCTGGAACTTGGCACGCCTTCCTTCCTCTTTCTTGAGCTGTTAAGTGGTACCAGAAAAGGTCCTTGTTTCTAACCCCCATGGAGAGTGACCCTTTGACAGCTTCCTCTTCTCCCCTGCTCTTTATCTCTGTCCTATCCCATTTCTCCAGATTCACACATCATTCCCCTATGGCCCAGCTCCCCACCTGGTCTTAAGTTTATTTACCCTTCCCACAAACCTAGCTGAGACCTTATGTTGCCTGAAAGATAGCAAAGCCCAGGCTTTAAGGGAAAAGTTCCCCAAGCACGTAGGCATCAGCCAGCACCAATCCTGCAATTCCAGGGAATGCTAAGGGACCAAGACCCACAGGTGCAAACTCCTAAACTGATGTACTTTGAATAGGCCTCCAGTTATTTTATTTTATTTTATCTTTTGAGACAAGAGTCTTTCTGTGTCACCCAGGCTGGAGTGCAGTGGTGATCTTTGCTCACTGCAACCTCTGCCTCTGGAGTTCAAGCTATTCTCCTGCCTCAGCCTCCAAGTAGCTGAGATTATAGGCACATGCCACCACCACCAGCTATTTTTTTTAGTTTTAGTAGAGACAGAGTTTCACCACGTTGGCCAGGCTGGTCTCAAACTCCTGACCTCAAGCAATCCACCTGTCTCGGCCTCCCAAAGTACTGCAATTACAGGCGTGAGCCATCACGCCTGGCCTAGGCCTCCAGTTGTTATGGCATATAAACAATTTTTTAGCTTTGGGATGGCAGAAACTGGCATTTGAATTTCCTGTTTCTTTTCCCCTTATTTGTACTCCCACATTTCATACACAGTAGATGCTTGATGAGAAATATTTCTGATGTTCACAAACCCTCAGTCCCCAGACCAAGTGTGAATGAATATGTACTAGATGCATGATGCTGGAGGTAAAGGGGCTCGGCGTCTGTCTTCCTGGGGAGAATGCTGCTGATGAGTGGGGTGGCAGCCCCCAGAGGAACTTCATCTTCTTTTGCTCCCACCCTTGAAATCTGGTGTGGTGAGACCCTGTCCTAGAAAAGTGGGTATAGTTTGAGGGTGGAGGAGCTCTTGCCATTGTATCATGATTATGAATCATCTGTGTCCTTCCTGGTTGGCTGGATTCTTCAAGGACAGGTATATGTTTTAGGCAGCTCTGATTCACCATACTTAACACAGGGTTTGGCACCTAGTGGGTACT